CTCATCGCTTTGCAGGTTGTGTACCGCGTGCTACGAGCACCTCCGGTGGAGCGCTGTCCTTTGGCCGGAACAAGCGCCAAATCAAGCTGGGACTCACCGGAGCGTCAGACACTGAGAGAGAATAAGAGGTAAGAACCCGTCGGAGAACAATTACTCCGCCCGTGGGTGGCAGTCAGATCACAGCTGGAGGGAGAGCCTGCTCAGCTGGACACACTGGGAGTAAACTCACAGGTTCTTCTTTACTGCACAGTGAGCCACAAATGTCACAGTTCCAAACAGCTCTATGCAGGGCTGGGAATATATTTCGGTCACACATAAAAATGTGATAGAAAGTCACTTGACTTAAAGCAGGGGTGTCAAACTCGGTCGGGTTCACGGGCCAAATACAACCTAATTAGCTGCTATGTGGGCCGAATTAGTACAATAATTAACTAATATATAGTAACTAATATAAAGATATATTGAAGCATATTAGATATTATTATTAATTTATATTTAATAAAATAGAATTTTATTTTTTAAATTCATCACGCGGGCCCGAATTGAACACCCCAGCAGGCTGGTTTTTGACCGCGGGTCATATGTTTGACACTGAATTTTTTTTAACAACTGTAATATAGGCCTAACGGCCTTCTAAAATACTGATAAAGATTTAAACCATTTTTTTAAAAACGTGATCTCTCCACGAGCCCTTCCATATTGCGTCACGTCCTTGCGTAAATCTGTACGTGCTAACGCTTCGGGAAGGACTAAGTGGCACGTTTCTGAACGCTCCGTCGTGCAAGTGTTCACATGCGGTCAAACGTGGACACTGTCAGAGTGGACCGATGTGTCCAGAAGCTCCGGACGGCATAATAATTCACGTCAGACTACAGGAGGACGAGGTTCGAGGACCACTCGGACGGCAACAACAGCAGACAGGTGTGGCAACGGGTCCAGCGACTCGGAGCTGCTGAAGGTGACTTCACACCAGAGTGGAGGAGCTGAATTAATTCCTACCCTGCATTGAGGTGGAGCCACCGCAGACAGCTAGTTTGTATTCCGTGCCTCGCAGCGGATTAACTCCGACGCCTAGAGAGTGTGAGGTCAGGCACGCGCTACGCGTCGCTAACCTGAGGAAAACGGTCACAGGATGTGCCCTGAAGAACGCCGCCGGAACAACTGGTAAAAGTCTCCACCAGGATTTTCATCCTGGCGCATTTGCAGCTATGCCCCCTGCTGGTCTTTGTGAATCCACTGTATCCTGACCAGTCACAGCCCCAGGGAATCATGGGCCAGTACACATGACCAGCCGTCAGCATCAGCCTGAC